GGATGTCTCTCGATTTTAGTATCGACATTACACGATCTTCGGTGGCCCTGATCCTTCCAAGGGATTCTACAAACCGCTTCCACAAAGTGCACCATTGTTATCGCCCCTTGGTTAGCGAGCTACCGTTAACTGCTTTGAATAACGCATCCCATTGTCGATATTATAAATATTATGTTAATGCGATAAAAGATTTTGACTCCTAACGACCAGGTGTCGTGTTGAAAGGGTTAAGTCATGAGATTCAAATGTCCTGCGACCCTTTCTCCGTTCGATCATTTATTAAGATTTGCCGCCATTGTCTAGCCCGCCATTCCCATAGAAGTGTACGCGTCGCTGCTAATTTATGTGAGAAGACTACCGGTGTTACGTTCTTTCAATATTCTAATGCGTTCGCGAATGTTCGAGATCGTCGCTCGTTAATCTTTCGCTTTGGTTTTATACAGAGCCTTTGTGTAATCCATACTTATATCTTCTCTTATAGTTTTGATTGTATTCACGGGAAAACTACATATGAAGTAAATCAATTTTGCAGCATCAACGGCCGCATACTGACACTTCTATAATTTATAGTTTAAATTAATATTCACCGTTCAACTTAATGTGCCGGCGGGAAACGTGATACTGTCGAATAACGAGTATAATTTATCTTAGACATAATAGTAATTATATACGGATTGTTTCTCGCGAATTGTAATATATTTAAATCTCGTGTGATATATAACGATTGATAATAAACACAGCGGCAATAGCGAGTGGCCCTGATTGTGATATAAACTGTTATTGTGTTATTTTAACCCAATTGTTCGTTACATTTTATTTTGTCGCCAGCTCAACGATAAGCCGCTTCCGATGTGCATCGTTCAAAACGAGAAATTATATAATTTCACTTCTAAGTACCGGGTTTGATTCTGTAATTTCGATGTGATTAGTTCGTTCCGTCGCGGTGCCGCCGCGCCTGCTAATTTTATAGTTTCGTATCAAATCTTGATTGTTTATCTAAATTAGTTGTTTACGACTATTTCTCTATTACGCGACCCCGTTTATTGCTTTCGTTTTATTTTTAATTGCACACAATTCTGCATCTATAAGTTCTATCGTCTGCTATTATCATATTTAAAGGTGTTTTTCTGTTACTTCGTATTTAAGTCTTTTAAGAATCGTTTTATATTTTAGTTATATATCCTAATATACAATTAAAATGCAAATATGAATGATGATAAATCGACGTCGATAAACAGAAACGGACGATGAAAACACGCCGTCGGGTATTTAATTAATTCAGCGTTAAAATTATCACAGACTTCGTCCGTAACCGAAATCTTTGCTTATTTTTAAAATGTCACTTGTAATCTTTTTGCGATTAACAATCTGCTGTCCTGAAATTGGGATACATCTTTAATGATAATGTTTGTTTTTATTTCACATTACAAATTACGACGCATTTGTTCGTGTACACTTTTTGTTGAAAAATAAATAAATCGCTGACAAAAAATTTAGATAACAAAAGTTATTCCCGACATACTTTTAAAATATGAATCCAATTTTGTTGTACTTTTTTTAATGTAAGAACTCTTTGCGGCCAGCGATTCTTGTTTCGTCGACGTTAGGCCGAGTTTATATTTTGTTCCAAATAGAGATTCGTTATTTGAATTTCGAATGTGTTCATTCACAAAGCGCCTGTTTGAAGACAGCAGTACATACACAGATGGCGAGCGACCACAGCTGTTCCTTGACTATTCTTATGCAAAGCGGTTTAGCGTTATACCGACGGTGTACGTAGTTTTAATCGTGCAATGTTCTGTTGGCGACAAACAACGCGTCCACGTATTCAATACCAAAATGGCGTCCGACTAATAATTGTAATTGCTCGAACCGTACGAATCTCTTTCAAAGTACGCAGCCCTCGATATTTAAAAATTACTGTTACCGAATTTATTTTAGTTTTAACTTTAATTTATTTAGGACGCTATCAATAGCTAAGTCATATTTGGGCGTCACTTGTCTATATCGGTTTCGGCGGGACCATAAATGTCACGAAACACGCAAATCTATCTTTACTCTACTGTCAAAGATAAGATTTATGCGGTACGGGCTTCATAAATTGTTTTATTTGTGAAGTATTTTACGTTGATTCGTGTAACATATTATGGTAAGCTATTGAATGAATAATGGAAGATATCTTTCGACGCTTTCATCTTTATTCCTTGAAAAATATTGTAATTACCATATATCACGGTGCGACACGTCTCATTTACATCACACGAAACGACCGGTGAAATGTTTTGTATTATTTGCAAGAAAGTTCTCTGATCAAAATTGATTTTATCACAGCAAAATTAAATCAGATCGAGAATGTGAACTCGTTTATTTTTAGGTCACATATATACCTTATAATGGTTCTATGAATGATTCAAAAAATACCAAAAATTTTATTATGAGAATTGCAATGTTTTATAACAAATAATTAACGTTAGACCTGACTTAAAATAAAGTGACGCATTTTTTCAAACTTCAAACTGGTTAGATGTGAAACCAAAAAATATAAACTTGATTTTAAAACCGCGGGAAAGACCTCGCCGGGGCGACATGTGCGCACGTCGGAACAAAATTCAGCCATCGCACGTGACGTAATGCGCGAAGCCATTAAACAGTTAACGTTAACAAACACTTGGGTGAAGAAACGGCACAGTTTATTGCCGCCATAAATTATTTACGAGTGTTCGCGATTATTATGGAAACGAACCATCTTCAGGCCGCGTCGTGTTCGGCGGTCTGCCGACCTGTAAGGCCGATTTCACAGATACGATACGTTTTTTTTTCATTACCTCAAAATTAAGCGGGCAAGTGAGCGGCCAGTAGCGTAAAATTACATTTTTTTCTTCTTAGATGAATTATTTGATAACGAGTAGCTGATTAAGAACAACACTCATAATTTATCATTTATAATTGACTACACAAACTGTTCCACAGATAATTAAAATCGCCGAGGCGCTGTGGAATTGAACGAACAACGAAATGAGTTGCTGTCAAATGTTTTTTTTTAATAACTGTATTATGCGCCTGCGCCAGCCTAAGCTTATTAAACCTTAAATACACATGTCACATTATATTCGGCGTTTCGTGCGCCCGTCCCTTAATTTGAACGCTTCCTCAATAAAGTTTTATAGGTGATAATTAAAGACAATGTGGGGACCACACGCCTTCGCCGTTGCATGTGAAGGAGCGTTATATTGTTGTGATATGATCGACAAATTTATAACGATGCGAGTAAAATAAACTACAAGTTTATTCTCTTTAAAAAAAAACTAATACTAGTTTTAGCCACGCGAGTCCTTCCTTTTAGGGGCGGAAATTGAACCTTAGCCCCGATTTGTACATCATTGCGAGTGCATATTTTGCACTACTAATGAGGTTTTAAGATCGCAATTAAAAACGCTCTTTCAAGGCGACCGCTAATTGAAAGCTGGTCGGCCGCTTGCTGTGAGATAAAACGCTTTAATGAGCAACGATTGCCGTATAAGTGAATTAAGCCTGTTTTAAAATTGTGATCTTTCATTGAAAGCCTTTTTGCCCTTGCAAGGCGGAACGTACGCGATAGGGATGTTATTAATAAGAAATATGTTAAAAATAGCGTAATAAGCAATTTCAATGCGGGTATGTCATAGGATTATGCCGATATTGTATCTTGTGTTAACTGATGTTTTTGCTTTCAGTCCCGAGACTATTAAAGCTTCATCTGACGCAGAACCGATGGGCTAGCCAGAACCCACAGGTTCCGATATTGTAGACACTGATATACAATAGGTGTCAGACACAAACAAGTCCCTTTTTTTTTTTTTTTTTTTTTTTTTTTTTTTTTTTTTTTTTTTTTTTTTTTTTTTTTTTTTTTTTTTTTTTTTTAGCGAAAAACAGTACCGACTTCAAATATCACGCTCTGAATTCATTTTATATTTGATTCTCAGGAGTTCCCTATGTATCTCGGGAGCCCAAGATCCAATACCAATAAAAAGAATCATCAAAATCAGTTCACTCAGTACAAATTTCTGAGGTAACAAACATAAAAAAATACAGTCGAATTGAGAACCTCTTTTTTTTAAGTCGGTTAATAATTTGTGTACTGCCCGTGGTAGGGCTATTTAGCAATTTGTTCAATGCCACGGCCACAAACTATTGTGAAGTAGATGTATTTATACGAATGTTTCTGGTGCACGGATATTGCGCTCGTCTAGGCAATGATAATTCACATCAGGCCAGCTAGCTTGTTTCATCATACTCTCTCTCTCTCTCATATCTCAAGTCACTCAGCTCATCTTCGGTTTCGCGCTTAGTTGCCACAAGTAGCCACCCGCGCCATTGCCGTGTGGCGTTCTACCATGTGTTACACATGGTTTCCACACAACACGTCTACTCCATAAGTTAATAAAACTTAGAAACCGCCACAGATAGCCCTGGGCGATCCATCAAAACGCAACGGCGAGTGACGCGCGCTCATCGCTCCCCGCTGACAGGCGGCCATCTTGGTTTTCCTTTTTTTTAATTTCACCTAGCGAACGCCATTCGCCAGAGCAACATGTTTTCGCTAATTAGTCCGCCGTATTAGGAGCGTCAGTGGTCACAGGCGTTTCTTAGACCCAAACGGCCTAGCACATTCCCACATTCCGACTTCGCGATTTCACCCAATCATTTATAAATGTGTCTTCTAAGCAATAGTGAATAGTGATAGCCCCTCTCCTAAACCAGACCCAAATGCGCCTATGTCGTCACCGACATCAGGCAATGTCGGGAATGTTGACGCCAGGAAGATTGTTACTGCTACCAGCTACAGAGACAGCTCATGGGAGACCTGTAGTACTACTAGTCTTGAAGTACTGCTGAAAATATGCACGCATTTTAACTAGCATTATTGTATCAAAAGCGAGCGCTCGGAGACCGAGCTATCACGGCCTGTGACACGTGGTATTTTGGATTATTTTTTGCAACAGGAAAGACAGCGCGTCTTAACCACATGAAGGAGGTTGTATGCAACCTCGCGAGCTCTCTCGAACGGGCGATTCTGGCGGGAACAGTTCTCGTTGTCGCGTTTTTTGCCGCCATCTTACACGATCCCCCGATAAGAGTACAAACGGGACGTGTGCGGACGCGAGCGTATCTGGCGGCGGCATCGCTTTGTGCCGCACGTGAGGTGAGCCCCGTGAACTGCGGAGAGCGACGGTGACCCCGTTGGCGCGGTGGCGGTGGGCACTCGCGATACACGGGTTCGATCCGACGCAGGACATGTTCGTTTTCTTTTTTAATGTGAAAACTTGCCAAGCGAGCAGACGGTTCATCTGATGTTAAGTGAATACCGCCACCCATGGACATCTACTACACCTGAAGGTTGCAAATGCGTTGGCAACCTTTTGAACATTGGGCAATCGTTTAACGCATGATACGTAATACGGTTGTCCTACAAGGTATAAATCTTAATAAAGTGCGAAACGTGTAATTCGAATATACTCCACTGACTGAGTGTATATCAAACATTAATCTAAACAGCTTAGTAACAAACAAAATATTCTTTGACTATTACCTACTATAACTTTTATGTGTTTACTATATAATTAACAATTCTACAGTTAAAGTTTTAAATAATGCTTTGTATTGAAATCCGCCATTATTGAAGTAAAATGCATACGTCAGACTATGGACTACGGAGGCACTAATATAAAAATGAGTTGTTGTTTTCTGCTGTTATTTCATTTAGTTTACATAGGTTTTATCCTGTCAAAATGAAGGGTAAAAAATTGTTGCCGAACGTGTAAGAACGAAGTTAGTGTTACAGTCGGTCTGTAGTAATATGTCGATGTCTCGAATAAAATTTAATTATTTCATACAAACTACACGCGGTTCTCGTGACTCACGGCCGATGCACGTGGACGGGCAGATTTCCAGAGCTCCGGATGATTGATAAATTGCGTGGGCACTTGTTTAATGTACGCTTCGCGAAAGCCCATCAGCAGTTTCTCGTTGAGGGATAAGGAAACGCCAATGAAAATATACCAACCAATGGGGGCAGCATCCGGTATCCATACGAAGGTCATGAACATAGTCACACTATTGACCCATGCGGTACGACATTTATTGAGTTAATTTATCGGTACATTTCACACTATAGAGCAATGCTAACTACGAAATAAATACGAAATTTATCGAGCTTATTTACTTGTATATGATTATTACTCTTTCTCTCCCTACGCCACTCATATACGGCCGTTTCCAATATTCTATATATCTGTAGATCCAAATGACTACATAGTATAAAACAAAGTCGTCCCGCTGTCTGTCTCTTTGTATGCTTAGAACTTTAAAACTACGCAATGGATCTTGGTGCGGTTTTTTTTACTAGATAGTGATTCAAGAGGAAGGTTAATATGTACAATACATTGCACCCGTGCGAAGCCGGGGCGGGTCGGTAGTGTACAGATATCTTGTGATAGAATTTTGAAGTAAGAATTATGGAGCTAATGCCAAAGTTAATTACTAGCGACTGCTATTTGACATTAGCCCCGTAATACTTACTTCAAAATTCTATGTCCAGTAACCAAATCTACAGGTAGATAGGTTATTGGAAACGGCCGTAAGACCAATGGCCAGGGGAGAAGTATAAATAAATTTCGGTAAGGGACAACATTTATATTATTATAATATTTAACCATAACTGAATTTGGGAATAGCTCCATATGTCAACAGTTATTTACACACACAAAACGTGACAGTTGCGCCTAACTGTTAACGATCGGTTATAATAGTTACTTCACTTTGAGGCAGATAGAATTCTAAAACGTTTCGATATTATGTTTTAATCATTTACAAAGCTTAGGGTTAGGTTAGGTTAAAATCTTCTGTGTAATCTATTTACCAGTCGCAGATGATGTAACTTATTCTGGATGTTAAACTAAGTGTTGTAATAAAAATCTTCTCTTCTGTATTCTTGCTCGACTACATTATAGTCTATGATTTCTCTTTTTTTAACTCTCTCTACTCTGTGATTATTATCAGGAGAAAGTATTGTATTTTGTGTCAGATAAAGTTTTGCTAAATTGTCAATAAAATGGTGGTATGATGATAATGATAAATATGATGATGAAAAAAAGAAAGCAGTAATATTTCCAAATTCCAAATATCACAAAGAATCAGGTTTTTTATTGCAATTAAAAAAATATTTCATATTACACAATGGTTGTTTTTATAACCTTGTTATTAATCTAACCATTGTGAAATTATTTCATTAACATCAACTTTATTAGAATGAATTTTTATATATTTCACCGCCAATGTCATTTGCAGCGATTGAAACATAATTATTACGTATAAAAAAACAATCCTTTAGGATATTTTCAATTCCAACGTCCAGCCCATAAGTTAGCATTAATATTTAATCACATTTTTAATTTAAGAAAATCTTCGAAGCGTAACTTTTATATATAGTTTATTTGAGATAGTAGCGCTTCTATGTTACATCTATTACTCCAAATCGTCTTATGTGTTCATAAGTGACACTAAGTTTAATTCAAATCTCCTCGGACTTTTGAATCGGAAGGTTACGACCGATTTAAACGGCTCTCTTGGGTTGCAACAGAAAAGCGAACAAAAAAACAACCGAATGATTCGATCATCACAAACGCTGGGCAGATCGTGATGAAAAAAAAATAAAAATCAGAAATCGATTATGATATGGTATAAAAAAACAATAACATTTAAAAATCGAATATGATATTCTACAAAAAAAACGAAGACTAGAATCTATTAATCGCAGATATCACTACATGGTATAAAACAAAGTCGTCCCGCTGTCTGTCCCTATGTATGCTCAGATCTTTGAAACGAGCCAACGGATCTTGAGGCGTTTTTTTTACTGGATAGAGTGATTCTAGAGGAAGGTTTATATGTATGCATGTTTGCACCCATGCGAAGCCGGAGCGGGTAGCTGGAAGGTCTATAAAAATAAATATTCCGATGGGGATTCTACGCGGCGATGAAATACCAGAAAACGTTGAATATGAACTGGAAACTCGTATCGCCGCTCCGAACCTGTTGCGGCCGCGGGGACATTTGGTGGGCGCTCGAATTTATCCTTTACCCTTTTTTTTCCGTTCCACTTTTCGGAGAGATAAAAAAATGTAAATAATACGGTCCTTCGAAAGGCTGAGATACGAGTGGTGTAAGGGTGAGGTTACATCGACAGGTTTTACTTTTTTTTACATCTATCGTCACGTGTAAACTCCGAATTTCAGGACAGTTAATATAAGAAATACGTACAACTCAACAAGATGACACATACATGACCAAATCAAGTACGTGGTCCGGTTACAAGCAGCCGTTATGATTGCAGCATTAATATAGTTATGTCTACGTCTGGAGCGATGCACTCGGCTTATTCTTTTTTCGCGTGCACAATTAACGCAAGAACCGTCGAAACCAGTCGACACGGCCAGCGCCTCCCAACTTCTCGCGTTCAGCGTCGCTCCCGCCCAGCCGCTCGGTGTTTCAGTTAATTTTTTCCAGCGCTTCGACGACTTTAACCCCGCTATGCCGAAATGAGGGAATCAATTAGCGTTGTTATTTCGAAATGGCGCAATTAGTACGCACACACGCGGTTTCGCAATTTCTCATTGTTCCTTCCGACCCGGACAGGTTTCAAAGTTTTGTAACGTTATATATTTAACGTTTCGATACGCTCTTGTATCTTCTTGTATTAACTGATGTTTTTGCTTTCAGTCCCGAGACTATTAAAGCTTCATCTGACGCAGAACCGGTGGGCTAGCCAGAACCCACGGGTTTGGGCCCTCCGCTGTGGGTAGGGCCGCGCATGTGCTCATGCGTGCGTTTAACTACGACATGTCATCGAAGTTGCGGTGCGGCCGAGACCCCGATGGCCGTCGACTGTGTTTTTAGCTAATCGGTGGCTGGGGGCGGTGAGAACCGCCCTGGAACGCGGGTGTACCTTGTGTACGCGTTGTGTTGGTCTCGCCGTGCTCGGAGGCGAGTGCGAACTAGTGTGTTTGTTGTTGCACTAACTGTGGGTGTAGTGTTGTCCGGCGGGACCCCCGGCGGTGGGTCCGGCGTATCTAAGTCCCCTTCCTCGACCGGGTCGATGAGGACGTTTCGCGGGCGACGCTTGTTAACGTTCGCGTTTGTGTCGGGTTGGTAATTTGCTGCTCTTACCACCAGAGGGTTGGGATGATGTTCGGCTCTATCGAAGAACCGTTTGGTCAGGTCTTTAAAATATTCGCGAATTCGAAACGCTATTAAGGCTCATGCGGTTATATGATTGAGGTTCACCAATTTTTCGTATCATTTCTAGTCAGTTTTCAGATTAAACTTAGAACCTTAAAACTTTTTTTATAAAACTCCTTATTTACTGTTACGAGTTCTTGATTATTTTCTCTCTGACAGTAATATAGTCGAGTGACATGAATTTAAATTTCTTTTTTCTATACGAATTGTAAATAATTATTGACCTTCAATTGCTTTGATGCATTTGAAAATTCTTATATATTATGTACCTATTATTCGCATAATATCCCCGAGCATCGTTTTCGCTGTTTTGCGCTCGGTGCACCCTTGGCTTTAACCCGTTCCCGACTGACGGGACCACTCCGGTAGAGGTTAAGTGCAGGTATCGCCCTTATAATTTTTTTCTCGTTTCATCGAAAAATTGCTTAAAAACTTATTCATTTTGTTTTTTGTTTGAATTCGTTCAACCTTGATATTAAATGTACACATTTTTATAATGCCATGTATTAAATAAATCTCTTTTTAATTATAATGAAAAACTGACACGAGAACCGAATTTTTTTTCTCTTTTATGGCAAGAAATAATTTATGGAAACTCTTTGCTGTATTGCCGTATTCCTCGAAAATAAGATTGTGAATATTAAGAAAAACAATTCAATGTTATTTACATACATATTCCGAACCATATAACATTTAAATTAAGAATACTAACAATAATTGTCATCATCACATAATTTCCTAAACGTTCGATTTTCAACAATCACCGTTCCACGTTCGAAATTCGAATTTGCGAACATCCGAATACCAAATTGTCCGAGCCGATCGCCGACCGCGAACCAAACAAATTGCACTCGTTTCCAAGAACCGGCCGTAATCATCGCTAATTCGATTAGTTTTTGTCACTGATTTCGCTCCGGACAGACGAACAATCACGGGATACGCTGATACGTTTTAAATTATACATTACACTTGGTAGTCCGCTTCGTGGTGCGCGGATTTG